ACATAAAAATAATTATTAATGCTGATTCTGTTATCTCTCATAATATCTATCTTTTTAAGCTCTGGGCTAGCAGAAAAAAGAAACACTTACTTTGTATGGCTTTATTCAAGCCCCTAACAAAACCCTTAACAAGACAGGGTCAAAGGAAAAGCCCTGTGACATTCCACAAAACACCTGAGGCTGACAAGAGTTATACCCAAACTTTTAGGTGGAACGGTTCCACAGATCCCAACAACTAAGAAAAGAGCAAAAGTCAGTGGAATCCTAAGAAAGAATAACCAAGTGCTTCACTGAAAATGAAAATATCATCTAAGTCTATGATATTTACTTACCTTAAAGAAGTCAAGTAAGTTTGTCATGACAGTTTTCCATTTACCCAACTATTTTTCCAATTGTCTACTGCAGCATTCTTATTTTAATTTTTGCAAATCATCTACTTAAAGATCTGAGCTTAATTTCTTAAAAAATCTCCAGGATATTTTTACTTCTAACAGTCTTCTACGATTTTTCTGCTTCTCTAAAAGATAATGTCCCAGAGAGCCTATCTGCAAGTTTCTTCAGTATCCTGAAATGGTTTCCTTTAGAGCCTTCTGGCATGCAGCCTTGCCGCCACCTTGATTTTCGCCCAGGGAGACCCATTTCAGACTTCTGCCCTTCAGAACTATGACATAATAAATGTGTTGCCTTAAGCCAACCAAATTAGTGGTAATTTTTACAGCAGCAGTAGGAAACTAATATAGTCCCTGATCCAAAAAAATCTTGGCTCAAAATCAAGCTCCTTTCTTTCTGTCAGGGTCCAGTATTTATCTCCAGATTCTTGATTTAGATTTTGATTCCACTAGCAGGCTGTGGAATCCTTTAACATATTCCTGAACCCTCATGCCAAGCTCTAATTTGTTCATCCCTCAAGACTCACTTTTATACCCTGTTTCTTGACCTGCTCCCTGGTTTCAACTCATATTTTTACTTCTGTAGTCTCAGGTGCCATTTCTACTAGGCCTTCCCTAGGCCTGGTCTACTGTAAGCTTAACCTCAGTCTACTTTGCCTTGTTATAGGATTCTGTTTCTTTACTTGAACTGAATCTATAACCATTGCCCCAATGTTTAAAAACTTCTTAATATCCAATCAAAATAAACTGGGATAAGTATAGCAGTAGTAGGTTTTGTAAGTAAAGAAAGGAATATCAGTAACATTAAACAGAAAGTTTAAAAAATACTATAAATACAAACTATCTGCCTGAAATGAATTTAAACTTCTACACCTAGATGAACTACAGCTCAATTATTAGCTGGGCCACTGAACATTTTGAAAATTATTAGGTAACCAAGGGTGCCATAAAACTGGATTCTATTCAAATTCAGCCTTAATATTAAAAAGAGGGAATAAGGCAGAAAAGCAAATCCTAAAAACTGAAGACTGGTTAGTTTGACAGCTATTCCTGTTTTCAGATGAGCTTGTCAGCACTAAAGACAACACAGGTTCACCAAGAAGTCATGCCAATTAACATCCATTTATGTAAGGGTAATTAAGTTGATTATTGAATAAGAAAAATGCTGGGGATAGAGGATAAACCAAGTTCAACAAAGTTTTCCTTACTAACCATATAAACAGATTAACATTTCAAAATAATCAATAGTTAAAGCCTTGAACCATGCATTGTTGGCAGGAATGTAAAATAGTGCAGTCATTAAGGAAAGCAGTAGGGAAATTCCCCAAAAAATTTAAAATAGAATTACTATATAATCTAGAAATCCTTCTTGTAGGTGTATATCCCAAAGAGCTCAAAGCAGAATCTCAAAGAGATATCTGCACACCAGTGTAGCATTATTCACAATAGCCAAGAAGTAGAAACAACCCAAATGTCCACTGATAGATGAATGGATAAGTAAAATATGGTAAATACACCCAATTGAATACTATGCAGCCTTAAAAAGGAAGGAAATCCTATCACACGCTACAACGCTGATGAACCTCAGACATCATGCTAAGTGAAATAAGCAGTCACACACACACAAAGAAACAAATACTATACGATTCTCATACAGGTGTCTAAAGGAAGTATCTAAAGGAGTCAAAATCATAGAAACAGAAAATAATAAAGTGATTGCCAAGAGCTGGGGGCGGGGAGGAATTAGTGTTTAATGGATTAGTTTGCAAGATGAAAAAGTTCTAGAGATCTGTTGCACAACAATGTGAATATAGTTAACACTACTGAAGTGCACACTTAAAAATAGTAAAGATGGTAAATTGAGTGTTATGTCTTTTACTGCAATATAAATTTAAGACTTTACAAAACGAAAAAAACCTTCAACTGAACAAACAACATGATTTGTAATAAGAAAAATTTTAGTCATGCTGATTCAAAGGTATTAATCACATGTAAAACCTTGAAATCATAACCTTTAAAAAAAAAAAGTCAAAGAGGCCAGTGGCTCACATCTGTAATCTCAGCACTTTGGGAGGCCGAGGTTGGGTGGATCAAAAGTTCAAGACCAGCCTGACCAATATGGTGAAACCCCGTCTCTACTAAAAATACACAAATTAGCCAGACATGGTGGTATGCACTTGTAGCTCCAGCTATTCAGGAGGCTGAGACAGGAGAATTGGTTGAACCCATGAGGCGGAGGTTGCAGTGGGCCAAGATTGTGCCACTTCACTCTAGCCTGGGCAACAGAGCCAGACTCTGTCTCAAAAAAAGAAAAAGAAAACGCTGAAGAATAAAAGGGAGCATGTATTTAGCCGAAAAAAGACAGTGAAACCTAAAGGAATTAGCAGAGATGAGCACCTAAACTTATTCGTGCTTAATGCAAGTTTATTCATTCATTCATTCGACAAACGTTTATGGAACAGCAATGAGGTGGGAAACACTGCTCCAGGTGTTTGTGATTTGCCAGTGAACAGAACAAAGATCCCCACCCTCATGAGATTTTATATTCCAATGTGGACAGACACACAATTAACATAATAAATAAGTGTGGTAGGCTCCCTCTAAGTGGCTCCCAATGGTCCCCAGTATTCACATTTATATGTAATTCCATGTCTGTCTGTCTGTGTGTGTGTGCGTGTGTGTGTGTGTGCATGTGTGTGTGTGTGTGTAGGGGTGTGTGTAGGTGTGTTGGGAAGGTGTAATATTGGACCTAACAAATAGAATACAGCAAAAGTGATGGCCTGTCACTTTCAAGATTTGGTTATAAAAGACTGTGACTTCTATCTTGCTCACACACTCCCTCTTGCTCTCACCTACTTGCTTGCTCCAAATCTTGTGCACTACCCTGTAGAGAGGCTAGGAGCTGAAGGCGGCCTCCGGACAACAGCCAGCACTGGAACTGAGGCCCTCAGTTCCACAGTCCATGAAGAATGGAATTATGCCAACAACCACATGCATGCATTTATAATGACTCCATCTCCAGTTGAGCCCTGAGATGACCAGAGCCCTTGACAACACTTCAAGCACAGCATGTAAGGCAAAGGGCTTACTCAGATTGCCGCCAAAAAACTATGATAATAAATATTACTGTTAGAAGAAAGTTTTGGAATGATTATTTTACATAGCAACATATAATTAATACATTAATTAATTATATGGCGTGCTAAAAGGAGATGAAAAAAACCATGTGGAGCAAAGTAAAGAATACAGGAGAGGGTACAGGTGCAAGTCACAATGTTTAAAGGGGGTATTAACAATACTTACACATGAATGCTTACAGCAGCATTATTCATAAAAGTCAAAAGGTGGAAACAACCCCCGTGGCCATTCATTGGTAAATGGATAAACAAAATGTCAAACATCTATTCAATGGAATATTATTCAGCCATAAAGAGAAATGAAGTAGTGATACATGCTACAACATGGATGAACCTCAAACACAGGCTAAGTGAAAGAAGTCAGTCACAAACAACCACATACTGTAGTATGATTCCATCATAAAAAATGTTCAGAAAAAAACATTTATAGAAATAGAAAGTAGTTTAGTGATTGACTAAGGCTGGAGGTGGGAACAAGATTAACTGTAAGTGGACATGAGGGATCTGACGGGGGTGATGGAACCATTCTAAAACTGGATAATGATGGTGGTTGCTCAAATCAGCAAATTTTTTTAAAAATCATTAACTGTACACTTGAAACAGGTGAATTTATGATATGTAAATTATACCTCAAAACAGCTGCTGGGGGTGTTAACAGGGCATCATTGAGAACATAACATTAGAAGTTTGAAGGAAGAAGAGTATTAGCCACGTGCATATCTGAGGGAAACATGCCTGACCACAGAGAGCCTATGCAAAGACCCTTGGGCAGGAGAATACCTGGTGTGCCTGCAGCACAGTGGGGCACCAGTGTGGTTGGAGCTGAATTTAAAAGAGGAAGGTAGGAGATGAACAGAAGGAATTAATGATGGATGGAAGATGGTGGTGATGGGAATTACAGTTTTTTATACCACTGGAAGGACTTTAGCTTTTACCATGGGAGAAAAAAGAGAAGTACAAAAGGTTCTGGGAAGAGGAGTGGTAATATTTGACTTCAATTTTTAAAGGATCATGTAATTATAAATTACAAAAAGAAAATATAAAAGGCACCATGTAAACTAGCTGCTTCCAGACTGACTGACCTCTCTTACCTGACCAGGATATTAAAGAAGTCTTCCATTCAAAGGAAGGGGAAACTTGTTAGTGTCTCAAAATGTGACCTGCAAGCCATATACATCAGAACGACATGGAGGTTGGGACCAGGTACAGGCCCTCAGGCTCCACCTCTGATTGCTAAATATCTGGGGCTGAGGATGAAACTCTGAATCTTATAAACTTCCCAGATAATATCTTTAAGAAACACAATGAACTAGACAAGCATTAAGGTCTCTTTAAACTCTAAATTATGAGAAACATATAGGCTGCCTAGACCACATTTATCTGAAGAAATGACTAGGATTTACAAATGGACATCTGAATTGATTATTTTATTATAGATGAAGTCATCTTTTTTCCCATTCTCAAAGCTCCTTACCCAGTTGTTTTTTTTCCCAGCATAAATTTCCATGTTCTCTCCATATTGTGGCTCTTCCAGTAATGTCTGGTATTCAAACATGAGGCGGGAGCTCTCCCGAAGGCGGCTACATTGGAACTGGTGATACTGTTGCACAAGTTCCTTCACCACAAGTAAGAGACATTCAGGATTTGAAGGATTCCAGGAGGCAAGATTCTGTAGAAGTCAAAACAAATAAAAGACCAGTCAAAAATGATATTTCATATAAATCTAGTATCACATTCACACATTGATGTAGAGGAGAAGAGTAATAGAAATAAATCTAAGAGAAACAGACTACTTCTAGTTAGCCATAAACCCAGAGAGGAAGTTAGAGAAATCTTTTGATATTGGCAATTTCTCCTGCCTTCTAAAAAATCCTTGCAGAAAAATCGAGGAGGAATTCCATCATGAATAGGCACAAACAGTGAAGTGTAAAACCGGGTAGTAACAAAACAAGAAACTTAAATATCCTAGAAGACCATAATTTTAGCCCTGGAAGACTTAATTTGTTTCTTATTCTTTTATAATTTTAATTTTTTTCTATCTCTACCTAAATTCAGCATTATATGCTAAAGTAATTCAACTCAGATCCACAGACCATCTGTATCTGTAATACCAGATATAAATAAACGCTCTGTAAACACCAGAGCCTCACAGAAATATAAGCACAATGGTGACAGGCCTGAAAAAGATAGGAATAAAATAGAGACAAGGGAAAATGTCTTCCAAATGCGTAAATCTGAGTAACCATAGTTCATCCATCAGTCACTCTTCCAAGTAAAAAAGGATAAGGAAAAAGCAGCTAGTTCAGCTTGGAACTCAATCACCTCATGATTTTCCTTGAGACAACGTATTTTGGTATGCAGTAGCCCTCCATGTGTACTTCTCATTGTGCCACACAGAATATTGAAAGCATGTGTACTCAAGGGTTATGACTTTATAAAATTCATAGTTTTTATTACTTAATCAAAAACATTCTTAAGTGAACTGTTGTTTTTTTAACTGAGTATGTGTGACAACAGAGAATAAGATAACTATGAGTACAGCTTGATGTCTGCTGTGGTGAATGCCAAGTCATCAGTTTTGCCCACCACTGCTTCTGCAAAGTAAATGCAAACATTAACACTGTAAAAAAGAAGTAATAATATCATAATATGATTATGAACACAGTTCTGACTTTGCTGACCCCTGAAATGGTCTCAAGGATCCCAAGAGGTCTGTAGACTACACTCCGAGAACCATCAGCACGACTTTATATTGTCTTAAGGGCAAACCAGGCATCATTTCTATCAAAAGAAAACAAAGAAAAAGTGGCTGGGCACAGTAGGTCACACCTGTAATCCCAGCACTCTGGGAGGCCGAGGCAGGTGGATTGCCAGAGCTCAGGAGTTTGCAACCAGCCTAGGCAACACAGTAAAATCCCATCTCTACTAAAAGAAAAACAAAAAAATAGCCAGGTGTGGCAGCATATGCCTGTAGTCCCAGCTATCTGGGAGGCTGAGGCAAGAGAATTGCTTGAAACCGGGAAGCAGAGGTTGTAGTGAGCCAAGATCGAGCCACTGCACTCCAGCCTGGGCGACAGAGCAAGATTCCATCTCAAAAGCAAAACAAAACAAACAAACAAACAAAAAACAAAGAAAAAGTAAAGGAATGCATTTTTGTTTTTTTTGAGATGGAGTTTCTCGCTCTTGTTACCCAGGCTGGAGTGCAATGGCGCGATCTCAGCTCACCGCAACCTCCGCCCCCTGGGTTCAGGCAATTCACCTGCCTCAGCTTCCTGAGTAGCTGGGATTACAGGTACGCGACACCATGCCCAGCTAATTTTTTGAATCTTTATAGAGATGGGGTTTCACCATGTTGACCAGGATGGTCTCGATCTCTTGACCTCGTGATCCACCTGCCTCGGCCTCCCAAAGTGCTGGGATTACAGGCTTGAGCCACACAGCGCTCAGTCCTAGGAATGCATATTTTTAAAGAAATTACTTTGCTCGACTGAGTGGGTTGATTTATAGGAACGAAATGTCAATGGGGAAATCAGTAAGTGTTCTTTCATTTATGGGAAAAGTAAGTCTTAGGATGTTCCAATAAAGACAATGAACAGAAGAAAAGGTAAGAGCTTCAGCATTATACAGTGAATAAGAGGGGTATCTTGATATAAAAGTGATTTGATAAGTACAAAGTTTTCACTGGCAAATCTGCTGACCTCAATAGCTGGAAACCCCTGCATAGCTGTTGAAGACTAAATTCAAAGTATCAACAGGATATAACAACATTGTACAAAACTTAAAATAATCTTATCATAGCTTGCTATGCATTTCCTTCAGAGAGCATTGCTAAACACTTATAAGCAAGAATAATACACAATATTCCATTTCTTGGTCAAGTATTCCTTACTAGTCCTTGCTCCCTACTAGAGCAAAAAGAAAAAGCTTTAGTTGTCATGATTTATATTTTTAAAATTCTGTCATTTATCCTTAGCTGTTTGGTAAGTTACAAGCCTATATCCAAACAATTTTTTTAAAATTATGAAAACACGTAAGTTGGCAACATACCTTACCAACTTGAATTCATTTCAAGTGATTCAAACTAATTGTTGAAGACATACCAACCAGTCTCCTTCTACTAAAATATAATTTCCTTTTTGATCTCCTTGCCATTAAAGGCATACTCACTGGAAAACACTCCCATCAAGGATAGTTTAGCTATACTAAGCAGGATAAAAAATCCCCATCAAGCTACCATTGACTTTCTTCAAAGAACTGGAAAAAACCACCATGAACTTTATATGGAACCAAAAGAGAGCCCGCATAGCCAAGTCAATTCTAAGCAAAAAGAACACAGCGGGGGGCATCGCACTACCGGATTTCAAACCATACTACAAGGCTACAGTAATCAAAACAGCATGGTACTGGTACCAAAACAGAGATATAGACCAATGGAACAGAACAGAGGCATTGGAGGCAACACAACATATCTACAACCATACAATCTTTGATAAACCTGACAAAAACAAGCAATGAGGAAAGGATTCCCTGTTTAATAAATGGTGTTGGGAAAACTGGCTAGCCATGTGCAGAAAGCAGAAACTGGACCCCCTCCTGACACCTTACACTAAAATTAACTCCAGATGGATTAAAGACTTAAACATAAGACCTGGCACCATAAAAACCCTAGAAAGAAATCTAGGCAAAACCATCCAGGACATAGGAGTAGGCAAGGATTTCACGAACAAAACACCAAAAGCATTGGCAACAAAAGCCAAAATAGACAAATGGGACCTAATGAAACTCCACAGCTTCTGCACGGCAAAAAAAACAATCACTAGAGTGAATCAGCAACCAACAGAATGGGAAAAAACTTTTGCAGTTTACCCATCTGACAAAGGGCTGATATCCAGAATTTACAAAGAACTCAAATGGATTTACAGGAAAAAAACAAACAAGCCCATTCAAAAATGGGCAGAGGATATGAACAGACACTTTACAAAAGAAGACATATATGAGGCCAACAATCATCAGAGAGATGCAAATCAAAACCACATTGAGATACCATCTCAATGTGGCGATCATTAAAAAATCTGGAGACAACAGATGCTGGAGAGGATGTGGAGAAAAAGGAACACTTTTACACTGTTGGTGGGAGTGTAAATTAGTTCAACCATTGTGGAAGACAGTGTGGCGATTCCTTGAGGACCTAGAAATAGAAATTCCATTTGACCCAGCAATCCCATTACTGGGTATATATCCAAAGGACTATAAATCGTTCTACTATAAGGACACATGCACACGAATGTTCATTGCAGAACTGTTTACAATAGCAAAGACCTGGAATCAACCCAAATGCCCATTGATGATAGACTGGATTGGGAAAATGTGGCACATATACACCATGGAATATTATGCAGCAATCAGAAATGATGAGTTCGTGTCATTTGTAGGGACATGGATGAATCTGGAGAACATCATTCTCAGCAAACTGACACAAGAACAGAAAATGAAATACCACATATTCTCACTCATAGGCGGGTGATGAAAAATGAGAACACATGGACACAGGGAGGGGAGTACTAAACACTGGGGTCTATTGCGGGGAAAAGGGGAGGGCCAGCCGGGGGGGTGGAGCTGGGGAGGGATAGCCTGGGGAGAAATGCCAAATGTGGGTGAAGGGGAGAAAGGAAGCAAAACACACTGCCATGTGTGTACCTATGCAACTGTCTTGCATGTTCTACACATGTACCCCAAAACCTAAAATGCAATAAAAAATAAAAAAAAATCCTCTAGTATTGCTAGATGACCACTTTTAATTGTTAGGTAATTTGTGGTTTGGACCACTTTGCCTAGAAGGGGAGAAAACAGAAGATACATAAAGTTTCAGTTGCTACCTAAGAATAGGGCATATTTTTTTTTTATTGCATTTTAGGTTTTGGGGTACATGTGCAGAGCATGCAATACAGTTGCATAGGTACACACATGGCAGTGTGTTTTGTTTGGTTTCTCCCCTTCACCCACATTTGGTATTTCTCCCCTGGCAATCCCTCTCCACCTCCCCCTCCCACTGGCCCTCCCCTTTCCCCCCTATAGACCCCAGAGTTTAGTACTCCCCTCTCTGTGTCCATGTGTTCTCATTTTTCATCACCCGCCTAATAGGGCATATTTTAAAAGCAGGTAGCTTTTACAAGGCTTCGGAGCTTTCCATTCTCGAGTAGGAGATAGAGAAAAATGTCCAAAGCTCCTTCAAGGAAAGACAAGGAGGAGGCATAAATTAGCAGGTATCTATGAAAAATAGAAAAATAAGTGTTTCTCTCTCTACTCACAAAGTTCTTCCTCTACTTCTTTTTAATAATGCTTGAAGGAAGAAATCTGAAATCAGGACAGCCACAAAGAGTAGCCACAGGGCACATCACATATTAACAGAGAAAAGAATACCAAGAGGATTCCAAAAATGAGAAATGAAAAATGAATTCAGAGAAAGTGATAAAACATAGTCAAAGAAAATAAACAAAAGGAAAAGAAAATTCACTACTATTTTATAATAGAAACTTCATGGATTCTTACTAAAACACCTATGAAACAGTTGAGGGAAGGTATCATGCCAATTCTTTTTAAAGGCTAGTTAACTAGAGAGATTAAATAACTGCTCACATTCAAGTGTAGACAATTGAGACTCTGTAGAAT